CTGTTGGAGTTGTATCCTAGATCAGGATGCTGTCAAATGAGCTTGTGAATTAAAATACAAAAAAAACTCTAAGCTTAATTATCTATGTCCATCAACGGGCAACTAACAACTAACTTATGGGTGTAGCTAATTTCCTACTTTTCTTCTTTTCCTTTTCTTAAAGGAAGGTGGAACCAGTTTAGCAATATCTCAGGTCCATGCGGAGACAATCCCAGTAGGGTCTGGATGAGCCTGTCTATCACGGTCCGTCGGTCTGACTTCATATTGCATTACTCTGTTTCTGTATATGAGAGTAAGGGAGTAAGCAAAACTTGGGAAAAATACATTTCTAAAATAAAATTTCTGGAAATTTCAGTTTTTCGCTAAACTGCAGCAGGCACCACCAAGCACCTCTGGTTTGGTGTGACCCGCTGCCGCTGGCCGGCCTCCGCCGTGAGCCGCCGCAGCCTGTCCGCGGTGAATGCGAAATGAGTCTGAGGTGACTGTACACCCGTGACGTTGATCTGCCCGCTTGACAGATTTAGCCTGTCAGACCTCATTACCTGCAAGTCAGGAGGATTTCTAATGAGCTAAATTAATGTTATAATTAGCCAAAAAGAAAGGGGTGGGGGTACTGGAATGAAGTGGATCTGAGTAGATTTAATTTCTGCCTCTGCCCTGACTCATAATTCTTTATTAACGCAGAGCTTTGTTCAGTACAACACTGACTTTTTTTGTGGTAAAATTACAGCCGACATTAGAAATGCATCAAGAGTCTAAGTGGAAAGTTGAGCTAAAATTCATCTATTTATGTAGCTGATTTAACATCTTACTTTCATATGCATTAGCCAGCTTTATGGTTAAGGGCGTGGAGTGAACGGTGACAAAAACATTGCCGGTTTATCTGCCAGAAAACCATTATGTTGTACCGTTAAGGTATTTCAAAAGTAAAAATAATGCATATACTTTTTAGCCTAGATATAAAGGTAAAGTTAGCTCAGAGTTCAGGGAGAAACATTTAAACCTTTCTGTAAGAGCACCGGGGTAATACCACAAATAGGCGATTGGGTGAGTGTTTAGGGGAAATTAGGAAGTTCGTTTTCAGCCCATTTTCGTGTATGTTGGCAGGAAGGATCATTTGCATATTCATAACCTAAATATGAATAATGAAATATGAATATTCGAGCATCATCTTTTACCTTCAGGCTGTCCCCTGGACAAGCGACGTGTCAGATGTGTCTTCTGGAGCAGAGTGAGTCAGGAGAACGTTAAGTTAATGGGGCACAGAGAGTTCCGTGCACTTTACCTCTCTCACACACTATGGACTATCAGACCTTTTTTTTAAAACTAGTGCTGAACACATTATACACAGTAGGGGGAAAAATTATCTTTTTTTTTTTTTTAATTGGTTAGTTTTGTGTTTGCTTGTGGTCAGCAGGGTCCATTAGATATTCCTTGTACCAGTCAGCTGTGTTTGAATTGGCCGTATGGTCTAATGTAAACAGGAGCACTTTTTGGACCAAGACCCTATAGGCACCTTTCCTGCTACAGAATCATCACGCCTACTGACCACTGTCAACATGCCATTTAGGGCAGAAACTTTAGCACAGTTTGGAAATTTGAATTTTTTTTTCTTCTTCTTTTAATAAAAAATAAAAAAAAGAAAGTTACACTAACTTTTGTGATAAAATAACAACACCTGTTTTGAGTGTGGATAGCAGTATTATTGCTACATTGGGGGGGACTGTTGATGCCCTGGATATTTCAATTATAAAAAAAAAAAAACTCAATGAGTGCTAGTTAGGCTATGTTAATATTTTTTTCATAGCTGTAACTTAATACAGGCAGAAAAACTCATGTTGTTTTAATTCTGTGTAAATTAATATTAATGCGAGTCACTTGTAATACAGATTAAAAACGTACACGTACAAACTGAATTACGCTTTGGCCCTGGCTGCTTTCTGTACAGTTCAGTAATTATTTGAAATTGTCTGCCAGAGACTGGGTCACTCAACTTTGATAACAAAAAGAACCATAACGTAGTTTGTGATTATGATAGCTAAGGCAGCGTTACAGACCAGTCTCTTCTCAGGTTTGTTATGAGGATGTTTTTAAGAAGGTGTCGCAGGAAAACCATCAGTCACTTAACCTCCACCACTTCAGGTCGCTATTAGCTTTCCGTTTTGTCTTTTTGCAGAGCTTGGACAAGCTGTGAATTTTCCCTGGTGCTCTGAGTGTATCTGCATATACTGTAACATCAGTCATCTGTGTAGAAGAGAGAATCTCCAGTAACGGTGTACATGTTCCCTACTAGATTTTATTTGCTCGGTCTGTAGTATTTTGGTATCTTCTAGGTTTCATTTCTCTGTGGAGATAACAGAATGAGGAAGCCTTTTATTTGCACTGTGAAGAGTGTTTAGAGGGGAGCAGTTGTCAAACCCATTTAGTCTTTTCTAAGGGCTTGTCAGTGCCGTCCTGCCAGTGACTGACAGCTAATCTGCTCTTATTTAACCCCCCCAAATTGCTGTTGTCACAGGCTGCTCTGTGTGTTGGCAAACTCACTGCCCAAAACAATCCCCTTAGTCGTTTCTGCCATTAAATGAAATGTAACGGCGGGATCCTGATGAAATCTCCCCAGTTCCTATGCAGCCGCTCCCAGAGGGGCCAGCTTTCCAAACCGCCGCCGTGCAGTGTTTGTTATTAACGGTTTGTTTGGGCTCCTCGCTCCCCCTTTCCTCCTTTTTTTCCCCCCCTGCTTCCCATTGCGGCTCCCGCCGCAGCTGTAATTAACTGGGCAAATATCCGCGGTGTTGCTCCCTTCCACAGGGTCTGCATGTGTCGACAGTGGCAACAGTGGCCAGCAGGAAGGCATGCGTGCCTGAGGCGCTCAACTGAGAGCATTTCCTCTCCCGGCCCCATTCAAACACACCCCCCCTCCCCACCCCCACATTGTTGAGGGGCCCTGGTCCGTGCCCCTCCGCCCAGCCTCCCTACTCTCCCCAGGACGGGCAGGAAGACCCCCGGGACATTCCGTGCTGCTAGCCCCCCCACGTCCCTCCCCCTGGGGCCAGAGGTAATAAGATGCTGCTGGGTCTCACTGGAGCAGTCACTGTGCCCCCCACCCCTTCCCTTCCTGCCCCAGTGCCCCCCTGAAAGATTGGGGGGGGCAGGAGAAGTGGCCAGCTGTTTCTGCTTGTGTTAGGGGCAACTCATTGGAAATGCACCGCGGCTCCCATAAGCTGCATCCATGAGGCGAAGCTGGAAAGATCCAAACACCTTCCTGGGGTCCCGTCCAGGGTCGAACGCCCTTTTTTTTAATGGACTGATCCCTGTGGTTATATATCATGACCTGGGCCACCGACTCCTCCCTAAATGCTATGAGGATATGAGACAGTGACAGGATTTGGTGTTTCTTTTTCCAGTCATAAAAGGACCACATACGCATTTAAAGAATGAGATTTGCAGACACGACTGTGACAAGGAGGGTGAACTCAGTGTGACATTCCTGCTGCAGTCCAGAGCTGTCAGGAGGTGTGATGGTCACGGGTGACGTGCTGTGACATAGGAAGACAATGTTGACCTGCCGAGAGAGGCCCTGACTCTGCTGTGCCACAACAGACTGTAACAGACAGTCTGCAATAGTGTGGGATATGTTTTCATAGTCAACATCTGGCTCGGTATGTGATTAAGGGTGGTGACACCCTGGAATCGAACCCTGGGGGGCATTGATCCTCTGGGACAGTGCTCTGCCACATCACTAGTCCCCCCTGATAAAACGTTATCTCCACTAAAGCCTTTAGACCATGAAAGGCTGGCCTGTAATTGCTTCTATAAAGGCTCCTATAAAGGCTCCCTTCTTAGCTTTGTCCCTCTTATTCTGTTCCAGGCACAGCACTGGAAATTTTCAGAGGTAGTGGCCTTCCAGTAAATTCTTAAGATCTTGTCACTACTAATACATGGACCATAAACACCAAATGCTATGAAGACTATAAACCAGTTTACTACAGCAAGTGCTCTATGATGGACTAAGAGAGGGCTTTCTGCCTAATGGAGTGGTCAACACTTGTGGCCTCTAAACAAGTGCAGAAGTCCTCAGTGAGGCAAGAGAAGGACCTCCTGGTACATCGTGCTGGTTCCCGGGGCCGGCAGCATCTCGCAGAACAGCTCAATACCCTCATTTGCCCCTGGGCAGCTCAGGGTCATTCCACGTGTTACAGGAGCTGAGGCACAACTAATCCCAGCTGTAGTGAAAGGCAGTGTTTACTCTGCGGGGATTAGAAGGAGCTTAGTGCTCTACGAAGCCGGGGTCATGCCGAGGGGAGGAAGCTGCCGCGTCACTGGGCTTCCCCGCTCGCCTTGCACCAAACAAACGCAACAAGGCTTACTTACTCGCTCCACAAAGGAAATAAGTTTTCATATAATAAATCGCAGATCTAAGATGCTGTAATCCTGTCACCTGGCACTCGGGCTGTACAGGTACGCATATTCATTGCGTACCATTCGGTACATCATTTTTGGGTCGGTACACACAATGAAACGAATTAAAGGCAGTGATGGGCCCTGCAGGTTAGTCTCCCTATGACCTTTAAGGTGCTTTTACCAGGAAATTCAGACTGGACTAGAAACCTAATTACAGCTATATCAGTACAGATATGTGACTATACTCACTAGTAGAGATTAAGGGATTTAGTTCTTTATGATTGTTACGTTTTGTTGTTGATATTTGTATGTATTTTACATATTTATTTTTACAATTTACAAATAAACATCAGGTTTTGTTATTGACAGACATATTGCCTTTTGTTTCCAGCTGTTCCTAATTACATTTGTTTGCAGTTTTAATAAATAATTTCAAAACAAATTCTGTTTTGTCTGCTGTACTGAAATTGTACCGAACTGTGAACCCAAAACCGAGGTTTGTGCCGAATCATCAATTTTGTGTGTTACAGCCCTACTTGATACTGTTGGTCACCATTCCACCCTCTTAAGAAATGGAGAATGACCCTCATCATGTCTTCTAGGGAGGAGCGGGAACGCTGGATCCGGGCCAAGTACGAGCAGAGGCTGTTTGTGGCAGCACTACCGAACCACGAGCTCCCTCTGGGTCAGCAGCTGCTCCGGGCCACAGTTGAAGAGGACCTCCCCAGTGTGGTCCTACTGCTGGCCCATGGCTCACGGGACCAGGTCAATCAGACGTGTGGGGAAGGCGATGGACGCACAGCACTGCACCTGGCCTGCCGGAAGGGCAATGTAGTGTTGGCTCAGCTCCTCATCTGGGTAAGAGTCGGCATTCATCCGTGTAGTAGGTCCTCAGCCAGGTCAAAGCTCTCATACAATGTACAGCTGGTCCTCACTTGGCCTTTTGGTTTATTACATTTCCCAAAGTGCAAGAGCAAGTCGTAACACCTCTCTCCATTATAGTATGGCGTCGATCCGATGGCTCGGGACGCCCACGGCAATACGGCGCTGGCTTATGCTCGGCAGGCCGCCAGTCAGGAGTGTGTGGACACGCTGCTTCAGTACGGCTGCCCCGACGAGCGCTTCGCTCTCATGGCCACACCCAACCTCGCCCGGAAGAACAACAACCGCAACAACAGCTGCAGCAGCATAGGCAGTGCTTCCGGCCGCATGCCGACGGTCATCTGAGCCCCCCACCCATCTGCTGCGTCTCCACACGAAGAGGGGCCTGCATCACCTGGAATCAAGAGCAGTAGATGGCTTCTGGGAACACTACGACGACGCTGCTGGATCCGCAGAGCAGTGTGCGATCAAACCGCCTGTAAATGTCTCCCCCTGGCTACTGGGACTGAAGGGTCTCATACTCGTGGGCCTCTGGGCCCAGCCCCGCCCCCCCCAAGTCCTGCTCCTGTCTCACTCCAGGGTCAGGTGCCCCCATCCCCATGCTGTTCCTTTAACCCCAACAACCCCCCCCCGCCCCCCACACAGGTAGACTTGTGGAATCTGGAAGTATAAATAGTGCCACCTGTAGCATGTACTATGGAGAACTAGTGACTAATATTACACCCCACCCACACCCTTTCTAACCCCTACCACCATTTTATGACTTTTTCATGACAAAATGCAAAAAAAAAAAAAAACACCAAGCAATGTTTTTCCTCAGTAGGAGTGACTAAATTATAAAGTCTTTGTTTAAATTCTTTGATTTTAACAATGTGAAAAATACATGGTAAGCAAACTGTAGAGGGAAGTCGTGTGTTTCTAGAGTCAGCGTGCATGATTAACCACTTTGTGTTTGAATGTGGGCGGGACGCTCTCTCTGTCCTTATCGTCATGTACCCAATGCTTGGTCCCGCTGGACTGGACCCTGTTGTCCCAGGTTCTGGGAGCCTGTTCTCACTACCCATGATGCTCCGTCAGGCGCCTCTCCACCACCATGAGAGAAAGGGATTGTGTTACATTATTGTTATTGTTCTTATTGTTCTTCCCAACTGGTAATAATAAGAATAATAATGTTGTTGTTCTTTGCTGATCACATTTCTTTACTGAAAAGTCAGTGAGGAAGCGTTTCTCCCTTTGACGTAAACTTCAGGCCAGTCTGTAGATCTGGATGGGAAACGTTTGTAATCCTGTAGTATGACAGCACCAGTTTCCCAAAGAGACTTGTGGAAAGTCAACTTTGCTCTGCAGCCATAAGTTCACCAGCAGCAAACCTACAAGGCCTTTACTCCTCCTTTACTTCTCTTTTATTTTCTTTTTACTCATCTCATATTAATCTTTACTTCTCCCTTACACCTCCTTTACTTACCCATACTATTGTTCAACTTTACCCCTTTACCCCTCACTTAGTATTCTACTTCTCTTTACTCTTCTGTTCCTCCTCTGCTCCACGTTTACTCCACCCTTACTCCAGATTTAGATCTCCCATTATTCCATTTAGAGCTCCTAGGTGACTGGCGTCAGGATTTCATTTTTTTTTTATGACAAACTACAGAAATGGCACGGACAGTTCACGAGAACTGCATTTTTGAAACTCAGCTCGGTGGAGCGTGGCAGACCACAGGGACGACACCTGCCTGTTTGCTGTGAGTGTCGCTGCCACCCTTTCTCTGGGTTCCTTTAAGTGCCACTCTACTCTGGTACCTGAATACCCTTTATACCGTGCAAAGGGCTTCTCCGGGTCTGACTTCTGGGCTACTGATGTGTCCTTACTCATCCCTTTTTTTTTTTTTTTTTAATTTATTTAAATACTTCAAGGGTGATTAAAAAAAAAACCTTAAAGTGTTTTGGGGTTGAACTTAGCGTTTGAGTGTCCCTAATTTAAAGCTGAGTTTTGCATTCTTGTTTGGTCACTGCTCAGACGAACATCCCGTGTTAATACTGTCCTTTTCTTGACATCTGTGTAACCTGTCTTCAGTTCGGTGACCCATTTTTTTGTTTTTGCCCCCCCACCCACCCACCCCCTTCCGTTGCATACTCTTAAAATGGCACCAGTGTGGGTTGTGTTTTAGCATGAAAGACGCCCTTTCATGATTGAAGGTGCGGTTTAAAAATGACTTAATTGAAAGTTTGTCAGTGCAGTGTGTGGGAATCCCCAAGCAGCCAGCAGGTTGAGGTGTAGCCCTGTAAAGGGTTTGGGAGTGTAAGCGCTTGTCCGCCTGTGATTGAAGCTGAATGTGAAGCTGACAGAACTGCTTAGATGTTTTAGGGAACATGATGTTGTTTTTTTTGAGGTGAGTCTTAAAACTGAATGCTGTCTCAGAGCTTCCAGGCCTAAGTCCCCATTAGCTCCAGCGTCTGCCCCTGGGATTGACTAAGAGTGCAGGTCAGGCATTAACTGAACACTTCCCCTCCCCTGTGTATTTAAAGTTGTTTTTCATAACTGTGCTCACCCTGTATATCCCTATACAGTGTGTGTGTGTGTGTGTGTGTGTGCGCGTGTGTGTGTGCGTGTAGGTGTGGGGGTGTGTGAGTGCGCGTGGGTGTGTGTAGGGGGTGAGCCCCTTGAGTAAACATGTGGTCTGTTTGGTTTTAGACCCTAACTCACATCCACACACCCCCCCATTGTGGATGCTATCAGTCTACGATGGTCCACCCCCAAAGCAGGAATTCCCATTATGCCAGGTAGTACCATGTCCATTCATCACCTGACCAGGGAATCAGGGGAGGAGTTGTTTTGGATTCGGTGGTGATCCGGGCAGAAGTTAGCAGACCCTCGACGAAGTGTGTAGCTTATCCGCAGCCTCCAGTGTGTGGGCACTTTGCTACCCAAGAAGTGTCCCCCTGATGCCCCTCCTTTCACCACTCACCATCCTTTATTATGTTGACGTAGATGTGCAGAACTTTTAACCATGCAGTCAACATTTTAATTGTTGTTTTAATGTTTTTTTTTACCTCATTTCCTGTCTGTCAGTATCCATAATGTACATCCAAAGTCAGATTACTGATCCATTATTTATGTTTGTATTGCGTTCAAATTATTATTTGTGTTTTATATTGGTCAGTTATTTTTTGTTCTGTATTATTACTGATTATCATTATTATTATTGTTATTCTATTGCGTTTGTCATCTGTACAGAACTGCGTTAAAAATTAAACCTTTCTGTAATGTGTCTCCTTTCAATAAAGAAAATAATGCTTCTTGATGTCAGGCTCCTTACTCTGACTGCCCATCCTGAACATATGATCTCTCGCCGTTCTGTATCCTTGATGAACGTTTAAGAAAAGGCAAGGGTTACATTTCAGGGCCACGGGGGAACTTTTCATTCTATTCGCGCTGTAACTTCCCACTGCAGTTCGGGCAGTTATTTAAACGCAGTGTGAGAGGACTAAATGCGAAACGGACAGGTCCGAGGCAGGAAAGTCCAAAGTGCAGGGGTGATCTCCCAGTCTGGGGGTACCCTGCGGATGAAGGCATTAGGACAGCCCCTGCGGCTGCAAGTGGCCGTAACGGGCTCACGGCCGGCTAATCCCATTTCAGCATGTAGCATTCAGGAAGGGGCGGAGGGAGATGGAAGCCCCAGCAGGTGCACCGTGGAGGCTGGCTGAGGTGGAGGGGTGCTGCCCAGCTCCAGGGGAATATGGAGCTGTGTTTCACTTTGGCTGTAAAGCATTCTATACTCTGCCCGGTTCCATGAATTAAACACGAGTAAAATAAAATCCTCCAATGAACTGTTTTGACTACCCATCCTAGAATTACAACTACTTTAAATACCTGTTTCTTTAATGCTGATACAGCCAGTTGAAACTTTTAAGGTATGATTACAAAGGAAGCAGCTGGAAACTTCCTTACAATCTACGGCCTCTTACTGTATAGTTACTGGCCCTCAGACTCCCTGCTGCTAAGAATGAGGCAGGAACAGCAGAGTAGCTCCTGGGATTTAAACCCATAACCCAGCCGTTCCAGAGACTGACTGTTATGGTGGGATCTGGGGCATCAAACTCGTGACGCAAGACAAGACAATCCCTCAAACAGGGCCTGATCTGGTACATCGTTATTTACCGGGATTTTGAGGGCGAAATTAGGCACAGTGATGTCTTAGGTCTCCGTTTCCCACGGATATGAAGCGCTCACTGAGCGCTGTGTGACTGTCCCATCTCGTATGCAGCGCAATGTCATTATTCTGGCCTATCCCACTGAGCACAGCGTGATTTTTCCTGATTGTGGTAATAACTACAGGGAGATTATCACAGGTTTAATGGAAAACGTTGGCGATACCCTGATATTTAGCCTTTAGATGTCCTCAGTACTTGTGGAGTACGGAGTGTGTATGTATAGAGAGCGCGTATAGAAAATATACAGTAGCCTATATAATTTTTTAGTCCGTGTAATAGCCATTGAAACGGTTCGGTTTGTTAATCATGTATATGTATATAGATGGATCTGCCTCAAAATACGCGTACGGCAATCAGTCATCACGTTGTTTTAATAAAATACTATTAAACTATGTTGAAGACATGCTGTTTGGATTCTGCGGCATGGCCTTTTTCATCACGGCTCGCAGTCATGTGCAAGTTTTCGGTCACTTATGTTCAATATACAGGAACCCGATAGTATAGAGATTTCCTATTTCTATTCCTCCTGAGGAAATAACTCTCTCTTCGTTGTAATTTCTTTAAAATGCTCTCCGGTTGTTTCTAGTTCTGCATCGGATTGATTTCCTTATACCACTTCACAGCCAGTGTTAGCGAAGCGCTGAGTCGGTGCGGATGCGTTGGTGATGCCTTCCCTCTGAACATCCTGCATCTGTCTTCTGCAGTACCTTTGTGCCTGATAAATCATTGTAAAACAATGTTCCATTGTTGGAGATCCACTACTTTTTCCATAAAAACAAACACATGTACAAAAAATCGTGATTTATATTATATAACATAGCCTACCTAGAATCGTTATTCATGATGCCAGGTATCTTTTAGTTATCTTTGTGGCTTGTTTTTCATGAGCTTGTTTATCAAAGTGTAATAATATAGCTGTGATTTATATCACAATCATATCGTGGGCACATTGCACTGATTGTGAAATGTATCATTTTTTTTATTTGAGTACCTAATTGCTGGTTAACTTTAAGTAGGAGATTGAGTAACAGGAAAGACATGATCACCGTGATTATATGTTAAGTTAAATGTGCTTATCTGTTGATGTTTGGCGGCAACACTGGAAAGAATGCAGATGTTTATGGAGATACTATTTTTGATTGTTAACTGTTTCCGTCATAGCAAAAAAACTGTCTGAAATGTGCTTAATAATTTTAATTTAGCGAACTCAAATGTGACTGTCATAAAAAGAGTTACAAAATTAAAACTTAAAATGACATATCCCTTGTTTTAGAATTTAGAATTGCTTCGTCAACGTTCGGAAAATGTGCATACACAATGAGTATTTATGTTTGATTAATTAAAAATCTCTTGAATATTAGTTATGTAAATCTACTGTTAAAACATGTATTTGTAGGGCATTCGGTGGAATTGTCTTAGTTGTCTTAAAATTCAAAATTGTATTTAAAATGCCAATTCCTATTTTTTTCTGTAGCATCACGTCCTTAACGTATAGTACCATATATGTTAGGAAATTAATTGTAGTAAAAATTGTATACTTGTAATTATCATTATTATTATTGTTATTATTATTATTAATAATAATAATAATAATGTTTTATATATTTTATTATCAAATATGTCAGACATATTCTATAAAGGTGAAAATATTTTACATTAACTTGTAATATTTTGTAAGTAGTAGTTTTAGTAGTAGTATTAATGTTTTCACGTTATGATTTTTCTGACGTAATCTGGTCTAATTTAAATTTTAATCTCAAGTGATTTGCCTTATCGCCAAAAAATACATCTCTTTAAAAATACGTGTTTTTTCTAGGTTTAAATTTGCATACCTGTATTAATACAATAGGTCTAAATGTCTGGGTGCGTTATGATGTGTTATGAATGGCGTGGTGGGTACATGTGCATTGTGCGTCTGTTTACGGTGATGCGAGTGTATTCATTTCTAGCAGCCCTCTTCAGCCAGCGCCTATTAGGCGACGCTGTTCTCAAGCTCGCCTTCCTTCCGAATTAATCACTGGGAGTTAATTTGAAGCTCAGACAAGTTGCTGTTAATTTAGTGCAGGAGGGACACGCTGGCGTGAAAAGCCGAGGCCCCGGCCGTTCCCCTTGGGTCCCATTCATCAGCCATCCGAGACGGCCGGCTTGATTACAATTTGCACAAAAATTCATTAGAGCTAAGGCAATTGTCAGATCCCGCACACTCTCTCACCTTGCTCCATCTCTCGCCCCGTCGCAACATGTCTTTCTACGGCCTCCTTCGCGTCAATATTCAATTGCAACACTGTAGCTGTACAATCGAGGTGTATATTTGACAATGTGCTACAATGCATTTCTTGAATGTTTAGCCTAAATTATGTCTGTGTATTGCGTTCACTATGTTGCATGTCTTTACACACGTGTATTATGCAGGACTGAAAGGATAGCGGTTCTCGTGACGCGGCTCTTCGTTAAGAGAAGAAAAACATAGTCGGGAGAATAAATATTACAGCAATTCGTTCCCAGGCAGGACTGCGTTTCCATTCTGAATTTCAAAAAGAAGTATTTGTTGCTGAAATAAAAAATATATATATAATAAATTTTGGCTTAGAATCACAAAACTGTATAATAACTGTGAAGATAAATAACAGCATTTATATAGTAACCCTGCGGTTTGTTCAGGAACGTCTATATATGTACACGCACGCACACACACACACACACACACACACAAATAATATAAAAAAACAGTCTTGTGCTTATATTGTCCTACATACTCATTTAAGGTCCTACCAGCGTTCCTATCCCTCCTTAAGATCGGCCGTCTCCGCTGCCGGTCCTCCCCTTCCCTCCTTAAGATCGGCTGTCTCCGCTGCCGGTCCTCCCCTTCCCTCCTTAAGATCGGCCGTCTCCGCTGCCGGTCCTCCCCTTCCCTCCTTCCCCTTGGCATTCTTGTTTGCATCGGACCCTCCTTTCTCTTAGCAGCCCTATAAAAAATGCTGTGTGGCTGAGATCGTATCACTGGGGGTGATATGGATGTGACCGCGATAACCAACGGGCAAACCTTAAAGTCTCTTCGCAACAGCTCCGAAGTGTAAATTTAAGATAATTTTTAATTGGTTTCACATGGATTTCGGGGGGGGGGGGGGGGGTGGCAGGTGATGAGTGGATCTGACGTAGGTTTTTGTTAAAATTGCTGCACGGAATGTTTACTAACTGCAGAATACCACTCACAATTTCATTCCTATGACAACATATAGCGGTACTTAAGGAGCTATTTAACTCAACGAATTACATCCATGATATAAATGCCAATTAAATATATTCCACAGATATGAAGCCGTTTATAACAATTGTTACAGACATTATTAACAGGGGGGGCCCGAAATATTACACCACTCTGTCAGCGGTTTCTCTGAAATATTGGACATTATACGGACCCAGTAACCTACATCTCGCGCAAAACGAGCTTGGTGCCATGGTGAAAAATGAAGTTAACCTAAAGTACAAATTTAGCTTCATATGACAGACATTAACATATAATTGTTAACCAATTTATAGCCGATTGACTATACAGCCATAAGTTCACTTGGTTTATGTGTGCGCTAAAATAAGAGTAAAATGCATTTCCCCTGAATTGCGATGAGTTTCCTTCTTTATTAATATTAGATAATGATTTATACACAGAGTGTGAAACTATTTAGATGTATATCAATATGATCTCTGCGAGCACGTTTGTGATTCTTTTGAAGACTAAATGCAAAATATAAAATTATATGTGTGTGTGTGTGTGTGTGTGTATATATATATATATATATATATATATATAGTTTTTCCCTTACAGTGTCTGCAAACGCAGTCCCAGGCATAAACTTAAAGCTTGTACTCAAAATTGCATCGACATTTTCGCCAAACGAATGTCAGCTCCCCCGAGCGTCATGTACCATAAACGCCAGAGACAAGCAACTGTTTTTGATTGGAGTCACTGGAGATTTAGACACGACACGGGGGTTAAATGCAGCCACCCAGAAGTGGCCCAGCGCAAGGTGACACATGTGATCAAGGCCGACAAAAGACCCCCGCCATCAGAACCCTTCTGGTATTAAAACACGTATTCCTACATGCATATAATGGGCACCGAGGTTGAGCGTTACAGCAAGAGCTGCCTTTGAATATTGGCGGTGTGGACAGATATCCACGTTAGCCACGTAATTTCCACATTAGACTGGGTAGCCGAAATATTAAGCCATTAAACTGACAAATTTTACAATGCTGAAAATCAAAAATGTCGTCTAATACGTTTTTGATAAATGCGCTACGGTTGTTAATAATAATAATAATAATAATAATAATAATAATAATAATAATAATAATACAGTCTGAGACAATGTTTACATAATTACTTATTGTTTAGTTTTAATTCACACAGTACTCTTAAAATCATATTAACTACTTTGCACAACATGAAATAAATTAAAAGCTTGCTCCAGAGCCTTAAAAATGTCATTATGCAAATAAGTACAAAATCAATATATATGCAAACAAAAAATCAAATAAAACGTATATTTCATTAGAAGTAAAAGATAGTAAATGACCCCGTCGATGTTAAACACATAGTTTCATGAAATTTACAGCAGTACAGTGTTTTTTTCTTTCTTTTCTTTTTTTAAAGCAGCGGATCCATGTTTTCCGGTTTAATTTTCTTACCGCTGCGTGTGAGAAACCGAAAGTGCTCCGTTTGTGTAAGGCTGTTCACTTTGCTTTGCAACTGCGAAATAACACTCTCAAGACAAGTTTTAACCTACTCCTTAGCAGTTTACACATTTAGTGTAAACCAAATAATTGTGGTATCCTGTCTTTGGGGAGGTACGGATATTGATTTTCGTTCTTTTTTAGCTGCTTGGTCCCACGTTCTGTGAACTGATATTCTGCTATATACACACATCTAATCAGTAGCAAATGTGTCAGCATATTAGTCGACTTATTGTCCTCGCGATTATGTAAGGTAAATTCAGTCGAGAGGCCGAGTCTTATATATCAGCTTGTATTTTGGCCCTTTCGAATTGATTTCCCCATATTTTTTTATTTATTTCCCAATTGATACGTATATTAGCAGCTTTACCCATTATTATACTTTTTACAATATGTTTCGTCTTCTAAATTAATTATGTATTCCTCGCTCTTTTTAATTTTAATTGTTATTATTATTCTTTTTGCAATTCCATTTGGTCCTTTGAATGTCTCACAGACACATATTCAGGGTCTCGCTTGCTCTAGCTGCTGGTGCTGACTTCTTATTGCAAATCGGCTGACGTGCACAGGGATGGGCACCACTATCTTGGGATTCCTCGAGGGCTCCCCGGTTTTGGAGCTGACGTTGCCGGCCTTAACACGTTTCCACTTGGCCCTCCGGTTCTGAAACCAGATCTTGACCTGGACTTCGCTTAACTTTAAGGCGTGTGCGATCTGGGAGCGCTCCGTCAGGGACAGGTACTTTTTGCAGTGAAACTCCTTCTCCAGTTCCAGGAGCTGCTCGCTTGTAAACGCAGTTCTTCGCCGCCGGTTCTTTCCTGTGGAGGTGGTGCTTCCGCTGGTGCCGCCGGGCCCGTGACCCCCTTCGTCCACGCCGCCGCTGGCGTCGCCGTCCTCCTTTTGACCCAATAGGTTACCGGCCACGTTTTCGTCTGAACTGTAGTCTAAGTCACTATCCATGGAGAAACTCTCCTCTTTCCTGATGCATTCATCGTCCTTGCCATCATCCTTACCCTGAGTCCTGACTAGAAACACAACACATGACAAGGAATTAGGATTTCTACGGTTCTCTAAATTGATCACGTTACATCACAGGCGGATATAATCTGAACATAATCTGAACATCGAAACATACAATGAAAATTTCTGTGTATCAACTGTTATCTTTGTTAATTAATCTGCCAAAAATGTTAATAGCTACAATTGCCACCTGTATTCTCGGTAAGGCCTTACAGGACCAGCCCGTCGAAAAACCGAAAGATCACAAAACCGAGGATAATACCGTAATTTTTATTGAATTGTATTGTTTGCTGTTAATTGACATATTACTCATCTCTAGAAAGCCGATTATATTTACACCCGCTGTGTGACATATCTACAATCACTTTCTCATACTGTTTTGTCTTCCTGTAATAAACAGAATATCAGGTCACCGATTTCACCGTATTTCCATTTCGACACACTTCTTTACAGTGAAAACCCAGCTTTTAACTTGGCAGTCCCTTTAAACATTTATTACATAATAACGCACGTCGTTTGAGTTTCTTCTTTTAAATGTTACTAGAGAAGGTTTATCGACGTTTCATTTTACTTATTCTTTTATGGACACCCAAATTCCTCTGGCAGTTTTCTGGTTCCCCGGTTAAAATGGGTTAATGTAGTCATTTAGCACAGTCTGCCCCAAGGCGCAGTTCCCTGAAAAGCTCGTTAAGAGCTGTTAACTAACGCTTTTGTTAAGGGAATCAACTGTAACTGAATTTCTTTAGGCTTTCGGGCCGGCCTTTTTGACAACGTTATGTAAAAATGAAAACAGTTACCTTAATTAGACCTGGGAACATTTAGTTTGAAAGGTTTCCAGTGAATAATTTGACATACATTTTGCATAAATAATTATAATGCTCCTTTGATTAAAATCCTAATAGTGAAATTATCTTTGCAACCCTTTGTGGCTATGCATAAGCCTATTTGTTTTTAGTATTGCCTTTTGATTTAAAATACATTAATTTACTCGCTAATAAATACTATCTGCTAAAGTGATAATAATTCATATTTCATATGCAACTATACGGATTTGTTGTTTCAAAATTATTTTGGATATTTAGTCTGACGTAGGCCTATAGCAATTTATTTAAAATGTATAATAATTATATTTAACTATAATAATTATATTTTTGTTGAAAATTAGGACTCTATAAGTTTGGGTGTCGTATGTATAAACAGTTAAAAAATTCACGTTTCATTTGTCCAGTAAGGCGAGTCTGGTGACAACTTCACTAGAGTCAACCAAAAACTAAATAAGTTTCAGAGGAGGGACTCTTCATCTTACCTACAGAAGCCTGCGTCGTCTCTACCGCTTGGAAAGACGGATGCACCGCCGACTCTTTGCTTAAGAAAGTTTTCCCGTCATCTCCATCCAAGCGAATATCCTGCGTTTTGTCGAACACAGCCTGGAGCGACTGAGAGCCAAACTTTCTGGCCGCTTCCTGGTGCTGCGGGGAGGCGGGGAAACTGCCCGGCAGGGTGGCCATCAGGGTGGAGGTCAGTGCCATGCCCTGGGCCAAGCTGGTGCAGAAACTGCTAGGTAAACTGGGAATTTGGTGGTGAGGGTGTGACGGAGGGAGACCCGTTTGCAACGCCGACTGTGGCAGAGCAGGGGGCGGCGGAGGGGGCGGAGGTAGAACGACGGACCTGTACGGCATGAACATCGGATAGCCGGTGTACACGAAGTGGCCCGGGCTGGGCTGGGACGGACCCCCGATTAGTGAGTCGATGCTGAAGGCAGTGGTGCTTCCCAGTGGCCGCTGCATCATCATTAGCGACGAGCTGAAAGCTGCGCTCATAAGCACCGCTGTCAATTATTTAGATTGAGTAAACGGGACAGGAGAACACGGTAGGGTCCGCTGGAAAGTTTTTTTTTTTTTGCTCAAGTCTTCAAATTGCGTTTAATACACCACAGGGTCTATAAAGGCGAAAGCGTAATCCTCCGGTTAAAGGCTCCGCTTCTGCGTTGCTGAAATAATTGAAAGTGCATTGTTATTAGATACGAGTAAACGATGAAAAGTCGTTACAACTCTGCAAGCGATGAGTTGAAGAGAAGCAAAGCAAACAGGGCAGATAAATTACCGACTTTCGTGCACCGACAAAATAAAAAGAAATCCTTTATGTCTGTATTTTAGTGCTCCAGATTTGCAAAATGCGCGCTGCAAACGCTCCGTATTATCAGCACGGTCATTCTCCTGCAAGGACGATCCGTCACCCCGCCGCTTTCCGTCCCGGTCCCTCGGATGTCGCTTCTCTTGCTGTGGAATGGAGTCTCTCCGGAGTATCTCTCAGGCTTCGAGGTGCGTTTTGAATTGCGCTCCTTCTGTTTAATCGCCTATTCCCCACGCCGGGTCCACCCCCTCTCCGTTCTTGCTCACTCCATTGGTCCCAGTTAAAGCGCCTGTCTGCTCTGGGGCAGGTTGTGATAAATCCCCCTGGACACGCTATCGCAATCTCGGTAATCATCGCCTGTTATTTGGTACTGCAAACAGTTATGTTATCCTCACAGAAGGAAGCCACCATAAACGCAAACCCAATGCCCTGCATTCAGTTTTGACTCGTTTAGAGACCTGCGCATTAAAACGATGAAGCGTAACAAAATCGAAAGAGTCTAATACAAAAAGTAATAACTATTATTAATAATTTTGAATAGTTTTAATAATTATAGCATTTAGTGAAACATCGTGAACTTATCTTTGATTAAATTATCTCGGATTATTTTTAAGTGGCTTATTCTAAGATGCTGTGAATGGCTTATATAGGCTTGCACAACTTTCAGTAGTCTAATAGCCAATGTACACGATACGTCGTACTGCTTATGTGGCTATATGCTTTATTATAAAAGGCTATTTTAATTACACTTCGGACGTGTATTTTACTCTAGGTTCAAAACCTAAATTACACACATCTTCCTTTTTTTCCAATAACTGTCATTATTCTGATACCGACAGCAACATACTTTGATAGTAAATTCTGGTGAAAATATTAAATATTTTTATCCAATCGATTTGATTGCGCGTTGACGAAACTATACCTTTGTGTGTTAGAGTCAAAGTATAATATCTTTTACTAATAACTGGTTTGTTGTTAGCACATGCACTGTGGGTAGTCCGGTGGTCGTGGTTTTCATTTTAGGACAGAATTTTCAAAAACAATAATAATGATATGGCGTGAAATTATATATATTTAAACGTGATTTTAACGAGATGGTGATAAAAATAAATATCTTTATTATCTGAGGTGTAAAATGAAATTGTTCGTATTGTTTGCATTTGCTGACACTCGTTATTCGTATAAAGGCAACGAGAAAGAAATTATTTGGAAATTATCATACGGTTCATAACGGCAGTATCTGGCCGCATATTTACAGCGTCGCATCCTCTGTGTGTACTTTGGGATTACAGGAGCAACACTGTCACAAAAAAACTTACCCTTACAGCTAAATGTGGACTTAATTGGAAGATAAAAGTGAAAATCGATTTTAATGCGGCCATCGATCAGACGGTACTGCTTTTGGAGGTAAATCTCCCTGAAGTAGACGTTAATGATGATTTCTGGACGTGGGTTTATCTCGGACCATTACCCTTTGACCCGCGGCTGGGTAATGCACTATCCCCGACACTTCATCGGCACGGACACGTCTAAGATCGACCCACAAGGCCCATAATAAACTTCGGTCTCATACCTGACGACACTGGCTGCCTGTGCGCCGGCTGGGACTTACCAACGTCGCATCAGTTGCATTAGGTCAGGAGGATCCTGTGGAAAAGCCCGCTGCTGCGCGTTAAAAAGAGCAATGAGGCCTTTTAACACCGAATTCACATCGGTTTAGTCGAGTAGCCAGCTGCATAATTATGTGGTACCGCTCCATAACGTGTTGTACATGGTTTGGTGCTAAATGACACTTCATTAAACCTTTGTCACCAGCACACTGTGAAATAGTCCTAATATTTTTAGATTCTCCAGAGACTGTGTGGACAGGACCATATTCAATACGTTACTCTACTTTCGGTCTGACATTATATTCCGTTTAGAATTCTCCGGTGGCGGTCAGTGGATCACATTAGCAGATGAGGCGCAGAGATCCCTGGTTTACATTTGGTAAACAGCTAGCGGTCATCAGATCGCACCTTGTGTATAAACCTTAATTAGTCTCAGAATGATAAAACATCTGATTGTCCTCATCTGATACCGCAAAATTCTCCCAGTTAATAGGGGACACGAGGCAGTTTGGATCGACTCTAATGAACTTGGCACAGATACTCTACAGGGCCCATCATGACGACGGAAAGTCTTGCTGACACACATCTGGCTGGTGCAAAGAGCAAACTGACAACAGATAAATGTGTCCATGTAAAATACTACGACTAAACACTAATACAGAACAGACACTATTACAGCTGGGTGCAAATCTGGATCAGTTACTAACATTATCGCCACTATTTCAACATGGTCATATTCGCACAGCTTGTAAATTTTGTACAAGGTGACTCCACCTTCGAGTTAAATCATAAATCACATACCGCACAAGCTGCATAAATGACACACGTCAAACACAAATTTCATGCGTCACGCACACACGCAATTTATAGCATGTTAATGGTGTCGGTAATATACGTTGCACACTTTGCAAACGTACTGAGTGTGCAATGTACGAGTTGCACCCAACGCAGCGTTCTTAATTCAAGCACGCTGGATTTTGCCATTTGACGCGTGGCTCACTGGTTCTCCTCACTGAATAATCACAGCCTGCTTTGAATAGCTAATAACTCCACCCCACTGATTAGGACACACCCCCTGTCCTCACTGCAGCCTTCATGGCGAGCTCCCCAACACCTCGAACCTTTTACAGTTTATGTCAGTTTATATTTTTAACGTGTCACTCCCTGCCATCTCTCCACAATCTAACCATTCTGAATCTATCCGAACCATAATTAAAGATTTCACTATTTGATGTATTTGCTTACTACCTTTTAGCTGGTTAAGTAACAGATTCTGATTCACGATTTCTGACTACAAAAATACAGTGCAAGTTATTTTTTCCCGGAATCTAGTAGGGTATTACTCACTTGGGCTCGCATCCGTATCTTCCCTCATTATCAATACAAATTTAGGAAGTGCGGGGTTATAATCAGGCTAATGTTTGTGTGTGAAGGGTGCGCTTGGCTCAATGTGCACCCACGTTTGGGAGGTCATTGTAATTGAAGGGGTTGGCCTCCTTCCACGTTCACAGCGATTCACATGCTTTGTTAGATTTGGACCCGCTTGTGCGAGGTTCCTTTGACACCACCGAACCCCATTCCTTGACCTCCTTGAGGACCATGGGATCGGTGTGGGGGGGGGGCATTTAAAGGGGGATAATATCCGCTGCCTAACTTTGTCAGACTGGTCAAAAGGCTCTTTTACACAATTGCAGAAGGGCTGTTTTTTTGGAGAGTGGAGACATATCTGAGCTTGAAGCCACATGGAGTCTGTTTTGGTCACTCACACAAACAAAGCTCTGGTCTGCAAGCGGGGCAGGTTGAAAAGGCGACGTGTGAAAGGGACTCTTCTTTCAAATTGGTGTGTCTGACAGGGACCGTTTCCTTTACACAAGCAAGCCTTTGTGATCGCTGACATCTCAGTCGGATGAGGAGGAGAATGCGTCTCGACGAGACGGAAGAGGAGCCTCGCTGGGCTACAGATCGGGGGACCCGCAGCTCTGCGCGTCGATCTGGGACAAGGGGCACCATGACCATTGTGCCATGTTTGGGAACCCTGGGTTAATAATGACCCGTACTACAGTATTTATGGAAGACGTTTGCGTGGTAGTGAAAAGTTGGATGGAGATGAAGCCGGTCCTTAGGAGCTGCCGGTGTGAGCAGCTGTGTAGCACATAAATACTGCATCACTATGCGGGTGCAAGTGTCTCAAGGCAGGTAGTACCTGCCCATTCACATGCTGACCTGCTTCGCCCCTCTTGTTCCAATCAGAGCCAGATTATCGAGATCATAACAGATTATCGAGACACCGGTTCCTTTGCACGAGCGGATGCAGAGGCCAGATGCAGAGGAACGGGTGGAAAAGGTTCTTATGTCTTTATACTGCCTTTCAGGCAAGACAGAGGAGGTTTTGGTGAACACCCTGCACACCAAGATGTGAAGGTGCATTCACCCAGGGTCTCTGTAAAGGTTCCGACAGCATGGCCGGTTCCCCAAGGCAGTTAGAGGTAGAACACTGTATTAATCCAAATGAGCTCCAAATTATTTGTTTAGCTCAGATGATTTTCTCCTTTTCTATAGTTTCTTTGTATGTTTGCATCCTCCATAAATGCTACATTTTAATCAGCATTTCCCTCATTTTTTTCATCCAACCTCAGCCCTCTGCATTCGGCCTCTTTTATAGTTCCATGTCCCCCAGATCCCCAAGCTCCCTGCTTTAACCTCCCCCTGCAAACCCTCCATCAGCCCCCTCCCTTTCAAGCAAATCAAGGGCATGATTTTTGCTGCTCTCTCTCCAGGGTCATGGGGACAGTACCTCATTAAAGCCAGCCTGATCCACAACTGCAGCTCAGACATTAAATAGCAGTATTTTTCAATTAGGGCTGACGAATTCAATCAAAATTCCATAGATTAGGATGAAATGAGGCATGGGTCATTTACAAGGGAATTTAATTGCACAGCCATTAGACAAATAGTATAGCAGGCACTGTCTCATTATCTATCATGTGGGGGCATCGATAGACATAGTGGGGGGGGGGGCAGAAATACACCCCCGGATCACTTCGCCAGCACGGCTAATAAATACCCTCTTTCCTACTTATAAATTATCCAGTTTAATTAACAACGCGCATTATGATTGGAATATGATTTAATTAAACCTGTGTGCTAGTGAACATGACCATTTGTTATGCTGGGCAGAGGGAGGTCAGGTGCACGGTCCAGGAGGGCAGGGGGGGGTGCTTTTACGGCCTGGCCTGCAGATATCTGCGTGGATCGGACGCGTTAGAGGGTCTATTATGATTTATTACTGGACCACGTGCTGATGCAGCATTGATTACGGAAGCCCGTCGTCCTACGGGGTTGATCATCATCCTCTGTGGAGGTGCAGGGTCGATCACGCCAGTCCGGGATGGTTACAGGGGAAGACCGTGATTACTGGTGCTGCTTCACTTTCGTCATGGGAGCCCATAATGGAGATGAGTTGCTTCTAACACTTTACATGGCAATAAATGAGAGCAGCACAGTGAAATCCGCATGGAGCTGGGATCGCCACTGTCTGTCGACAGTGGAGTCCAGGCTGAGAAAAGTATAGGTGTGTTGGAAAAGTAATTAAAAAGTCTCTCTGGCTTTTGGATGTAGTTATGGAAACAGATTGGATTTGGAAATATGGCCTCCAGCATTAGACCATTCAGCGTTATTTAGTTTGGTATGTCTCAGTTTCAACCTTTTCATCCAGCTTTAAATGTCACCCATAATTTATTCTGTACAATCCACCCTTTTTACATTATATCAAATCCCTCCGTTTCCCTTGTTTCTATACCAACGGGTCAGGCGGGAGCCAACAGCCAGACTAATGTATCGTGATATTTTAAAGCAGAATACCTTTTCGTCTGAGTGAGTCTGCTTGTGTTAATAAAGCTGATTCCTCCTTAAACGGTCGCTTAAACACAGCTTTTCTAAACATCTGTGAGATTTTAAGTATCTTTTTTTATTATATCAGACCGTTTTCATGCCATTGCTCCTTTTAAGGGTCACATAGTAACTTGGCCGAAAACTGTTAATTCATGTTGGAGAATATTTGTGGTCTAGTCTTTCTGTGGCCTCCTTGTTCTACAGTGTTAAAGGCTGAAGGACCCATTTTACCAGCAATCACCAGCCTCCCTCTGTAAGCCCAGGGTATCTTCCACATAGCACCCAGGAACTCTGACCCCCTGTGGGCTACCATAATATACCATGTGGCACTATATGAACTCTACACCATAGCTTGTCATGTCAAAGACTACACAGAGAGCTACCAGGATGAATGACGATTTGATGAATTAAAATAATTAAGAAAACACAGAGTTGCGCAATTCCTTCAGTATGTACTTTATTTGGATGGTAATTAAAGGCACAAAAAGAAATAGATTTATCAAACAAACTCAATGTAAGCAGTATGAAATATATATAAAAATTCTGCTTAATAAAATACAGTGAATATTAAATTACAAAACACAGTAAGTATTTAAACTAAATGCAAAAGATCATCTGAAATACAGTAACAACACAGTTCAAAGCTGATGTAATGAAATTAACCCACAGTGACCCCTGCAGGTGAAGAAGTGCAACCGAAGAAAGATTCATCGGAGCATTTTCTACAACGTTTAACTGTTGAAATAAACGGTAAGGAATTACTAGTAAGTAATAATTGTGCTGGACATACAAATCATACCCACGGAAAAGTGTGAGCCAATGGTGTTCATGTAGGTATTGCTGCTTCAGAGAGGCTTAATAGATGAAGCCTTCTGGCTCCAGAAGGAGGTAACGCTGGAGGAGGCTGGGAATGGGGAGCTGGGGAACCAGCAGGTGGCAGTGTTTGCCATAGTGCTGCCGGACGGCGGCACGAGACAGGTGCTGCAGACAGCGGGGCCTGTACTCCAGGTCAAAGAGGGACTGATAGAACAGCTGGTGCACCTGCAGAATGCGGGAGTGAGGAGACAGACAATGCAATCACATAACCAGGTGCGCATGAATGTGCCAAACCCAGATGCAGGGTCGACCAGAAACACGAAACCTCAGCAAACGAGGGCCTCACCGTGACAGCCAGATGCTAAGAGGATCACACCTATTACCCTAATTACAGAGCCAAGGGTGGCATGCAGGACAGCAATTATTCAAAACACACTGGAGGACTGAGCGTCCTGAAGGTGCAGAGCACAGGGGGCGACACAGTCAACACACACACAGACAATGAGGGACATTACAGCGGAAAACAGACGCAAGTTCAAATATCCAGACATCCAGCCTTCAGCTAGATGGGTCGGCCGCATTAACAAGTGCTTCAGACTCGGTAATTAGATGTGCAGAGTATTTACCACACTTGTTCAGATTTGATTTAATAACAACATACTTAATTACCATGACAATCAATGAGACCGAAAAAGAGCATTTCAGAAGTTCCAAAGGCAGAGATCTGTTTGGATCGTATTAATCCTACTGCTTTCCTTCCCACAGAGAACATGTCATTAATTACGGTAGAATTAATTACGAGTGAGTATTGTAACTAATGCTTCTCAGGGATGGGAATGTTCTGAAATTGGATCTGTGCTACAGCAGTATCACACGTATACAGCCTTCCATTCCTCCGTCGTCGTAGGGGGTTGAGCGGGCTGAGAGGAGGCTTTGAGGTGCACCTCACCTGGTAGATCTCCTCAGGGATGCTCTGCTTCCACTTGTATGTGACCGGGACCTGGCTGTAGGAATTAAAAAGGACCTCCACTGTCTTTGGAGCTGCAGCACAGGTGGCGAGAACCTGAGATTGAAGTCAGATGGAACTGATATCAAAACATATATACTCAGTCATGTGGGGGGGGGCATGTATACCCTGGTAGATTAGTGGGGGCAACTTCATAGGGGCCCCAAAATCTACCATCGGGGGCTGGCTTGGAAAAAACTACTAGGGGACCCCAAAAGAAAAAAAATCCCATATGGGGGTTTGGACACATGCCCCGGGGTACAATGTCCACAGGGAGGCACCAAGCAGAGCTACACCCCATAAGCGCCCCCCCCCCCCAACCCCCCAACCCCCCTCCCCCATCCCATCCTGTTCACGAATGTCTTAACAAGTTACTGACATATAAAATATAATATATAATATATAATAATATATAAATATATAAAATACTTAATATTATTTATATTGTTCCTGTAACAGGACACGCCGCAGATGCATTTCTGAATTAGGTGAGTCACCAATCAGTGGCTCAGTTCCTGTCCTCCGTCAGGTCATGTGTGCAGTTCTGTGGTTTTTAACACTCTTAATCTGGCCCTGTGTACATGTGACCTGTGTTTCTTCAGACTGAAACGTGAAAAGGTGACATTTTATCAGGGCGCCCAGAATTTCTAGCTACGCTCCTGGTGTGGATCTGGATCCAAAGCAAAGGCCGCACTAGATGTTTGGAGCGTGGTGTTTCAGAGTCAGTTCAGGGTGGTTCTAGGTGGTGGTTGGGTTCAGCACAGGGATGACGCACCTTCAGCAGGGCCAGTGGCCACACCTTGATGGAGCCGTGGTTCAGTAGGGTGCGTACCACCCGGTGGGGGTGCTGCTGAGCCCTTATGGTGGCGCTCTGTAGGGCGCAGGACAGCGGCGTGGCGCCATTGTAGTCGATAGCGTTGACGTCGGCTCCGTGCTCCAGCAGTAGCTGCACCAGGTCCAGCTGCACGTTGCGGGCGGCCTTGTGCAGCGGCGTGCGGCGCTCCTCGTCCGCACTGCTTGTTTCAGCGCCGTAGGTCAGCAGCAGCCGGCAGAGCTGCAGGTGTCCCTCCGGGAGCTCGGGGCTGCGGGCCGAGCCACATGCCGTCCCCAGTGGCGTCTCCCCCGAGCCGCTCGGCTGGTTGACGTCGGCACTGTAGCGGAGGTAGAGCTGGGCGTGGTGCAGCAGGCCGTGACGAGCAGCCACATGCAGCGGAGTCTCCCCGTCCTCCTCGCTCGCCTGGTCCACCTTGGCGCCACAGCGGACCAGGGCTTTGGCACAGCTGGGGTGGTCGAGAGGCGGTTAGTTAGCGACCAAGGTGGTATGTTAAGGGTTTCTGATCACTCCACTGAAGGAGAGAGAGGAGCGGCTGCTGTATTTAATATTCTTAATTATTATAAGAATGTATTAGAAGAATGTGCCAGGTGATTCCAGGGCACACACATGCGCACACACGTAGTCTCACTCTAGGGGCAATTTACAAACACAAGGTCACCTAACTGCATGTTTTCCGATCGTGGGAGGGAACTAAAGCACCGGGAGGGGGGAATGTGCAAATTTGCATCCTATTCTGTGGAATATGCACCTGAAAAACATCGCAGCAAACTGGTAGAAGCCATGAGGTCTGTCTCAAGCTTTAGATCAAGAGCAACAACAAAAAAAAAACCCTGAACTCACTGTACCTGGCGAGAGAGTCAGTGAGTCAACAACAGTTTTAACCTCTGGACTGAGAGTTTAGCCTGGGCTTCACCGTGTAGTTAATCTACCATCATTAGAGGTGAAGCAGGCTGCAGGTGTGGCAGGCTAGCACACTAATAAGCGTGTTCAGCACTCTCAGCATGCCAGAGCCTGGTTTGGTCACTGTGCCAAGCCCCCGCATCTCACCGTTTCCGGAACTTTCCTTCTGTGTCCCTCTCTGAACTTGACGAACCCAGCAGAAAGAAATGCTGGTACTTAGTTAGACACTGGCTGCAATGACAGGGGTGTTAGTGATGTCAGGGGCTGGAGGTTGGAGCGTAATAACTGCAGGAACTGCAGTTTAGGCTGCGTTGGCGGGAGGGGAGCTGACCGTAGGGTTTGGGCGGTCCTGCAGAGGTGCAGCGGCGACAGGCCATCTTCGGTCAGTAGGCCAGGGCTGGCTCCGTGCTCCAGCAGCAGCTCCGTGCAGTCGGTGTTGCCGTTCTCGCAGGCCTCGTGCAGTGCGGCCTTGCCGCCCGCCAGCAGGTTGGGCTGCGCACCATTCTCCAGCAGGTAGCGGAGGCACTCGGTGTAGCCCTGGGCGGCCGCGATGCGCAGCGGGCTCGTCAGCTCCCGCTTATAGTCCAGGGACCACAGGCCTGCAACAGCAGTGAAAGGAAGGCCAGAGTACTGTCACTGTGTGGGACAACTCAGGGGACACTGCAACATGAGGGCAAGAAACTGTGGAGATGGAAAAGGATGGAATGGTGATGGAGAATGACTCTGCTCCGATATAGTCCCATAATGCTCTAGTAACCTATGAACCACCCTAATGCCGCTGTGGCACTGACTGAACTCTTCTTAAGGTTGTGTTCAAGAATCGCATTAGTGCGGGATCCCTACAGAAGAGGAACAAAGTTTATCCCCCACACTTGAGTTAAGAGAGGCCACCTTAGTAGATGCAGCTATGGAATAGCTGGTGATTGCCTGCGTGCTCTGACTCACGGTGGTACGGATGTACCGATTGGACCTAGTAATTATGGCTTTCCTTCAGTCCTCCATGCCTTAGGGGGCAGCAGTGTTACCTGAGGATCCAAAGGTAGCAACACTGTTAGACCGCCAATGTAGCTCATCGCAGTTGATCTTGTAGACTACATTCACATCCACGTAGATTTTTTTGAGGAGCCTCCGTTCATCGTGACCCAGTAGAACTGCACTGTGCGGCGGTCCTGACCACCAGCTGCACTAGGCACTTCCTTGAAAACCTCTCCTTCAAGCTTGTCCATGGCCCTCATTCAAGTGCATGGTGGAACACAGATCCTCTAAACACAGAGTCCTAAGCATCCCTTGGTGCTGCAGCAAACTTTGCCTCCCCAAGAGTAGCGAGGAGCATCTCCCTCTGCCAAGCATCCAGAAGGTATGGCTGTACTGGGGGGACTGGGGGCATTTATAGGTTTTGCAGGCTTTATCACCATGGCTGCCCACTGTGAGATTATAATTAGTGTGTTGTTTCTATTCTGTGATTAAATTTAGACTATGATGCCCTGTCAGATGTTCCACTGGCCAGGGGTTGAAGGTTTAATCACTCCAGTTGGCAGGATCACTATTGACACTCTGCATGTTATGACTTGGGAAGTGTGTCAAGGTTAGTGATTAGAGGCAGAGAGTCAAGCTGAGAAGGGTCTGGGTCATACATACACTTGAGATCGTGTGATCTCCTGGCTATATGGATTTGAGTGATGGTAACCCATCCATAGTATTCTTTCTGCCCGCCTTGTGCTCCAAACATCTAGTGCAACCTTTGCTTTGGATCCGGATCTACACCAGGAGCGTAGCTAGACATTCTGGGCGCCCTGATAAAATGTCACCTTTTCACGTTTCAGTCTGGAGAAGCACAGGTCACATGTACACAGGATTAAGAGTGACTCTCTTTGGGTGTTAGTTATCTCTCTGCCAAAATAATGCACGACCGTGTTAAGGTATAGAAGGACCTCCCCGGTCCTGTTGTCTTTTGGCCCTGCCTTACCCTGGTCCTTCCTATTTGTACCTTGTTCTGCCTCCTTCTGGCCCCTACCTTCCTCTGGCCTTGCATGGACCACAGCAGCTGGAGGTGGATCTCCTGTAGCTGACAGCAAACACGCCTCAATGCTAATCTCACGGATTAACATGTTTTTCATGCCGCAAAGCCTCTACCACGTGGACCTAATGCTGGCAGCATCGTGGTGACTACCTTCTAACATAGGATGATCTGACCTGGATTTCCAACGTAGGCTGGTGAAGGTTTACAGTCACTGGGAGAATGTGGCATCCATTCCCATAAGACAATCTTATCTCATTCTCTCACCCAGCGAGAATGCGGGTGAGAATACACTTGCCAAAATGGACTGTTCTCCTGATTATGACTGCAGGGAGTTGTTTAAATGAACAAACAGGATATTAATAGAATACTAAATTTAAACAAATTGCTATCAGAGCTTATTATGCGCATGAAAATGTGCTCAGCTTGTCACTTCTTGAATTTAGTTAAAGCATATAATTCACACTGCAGCTGTTGTATGTGACAATATAACCAGAAAGACAAAGTAGAGCGATATAGAGCATGTCCATGTAGGGCCCAGTGGCCTCTTCAAACTCATGCGAATATCTTCTATTATTAGTGCACAATACCCTGTGGATGGACTTATTAATCTTGAAGTCTTTATGCGGAAAGTTCCAGACCAGAGAAGAATCATCTGGATCTGCTATATCCAAGTGCAAAAATACAAACTCAGGAAGGAAGTCTGATTGGAGGCTGTTACTTTCAGACAGTGCTTTCTTGACATTGGGGGGGACTGAATTTACCCCTGGGAGGGGGCGAGATGTATTTCGTGGGGCACACATCCAATAGTCACATTGTGAAAGGATGGCACATAATACAGATTTAAAAATAATTTTTGAATAATAAAGATTTCATAATTTAAAACAATACTAACACTATTTAGGGTACAGTTTCACAACTAAATATAATCAAAGAAATAACTGATCCATATGATAAAATGAGTTTGTGTGGTACAGAGCTACAGTTTTTATTGGGTAAATGTTTGGTCTTTGCACTCTGCATTGACCTCATAATACGTGGATTCATAATAAAAGAGAAGGAACATGCTTTTATTTGTTTGTTTGCTTGTTTATTTGTTTGTTTGTTTGTTGGGGGAGGGGGTCTGTCAACGTTGGGGAGATGCACCCCCCCCGCCTCCCTGCCCCCAGGCCATGGAGTACCCAGGCTTCGTCCTACCATTAAGCACATGGCCTGTTTTGGATCCTTTAACCCTTCAAAGAGTGACATCATTACTTTACCGTTATGTGATTTATGCCTAATTAGCTTGATTGTATCTCTTGATCTTTTTCCTGAAATTTATTTTTAAGTGCACGTTCTCTGCCAATGAGACCAGCACAGATTTCAGAATAGACAACAAAACCATACCATTAACATAAAGGTTTAAGATTCTTTATAAGTGGCAATAGGATACCTTTTGTTATTTTCGGCTGCCAGTTTTATACGTATATCTACCCTAATTCCCACTATGGACTGATCATAGTAGGTAAAATGACTGCCTCAATAGTCTTAATGTTGCCTGTCACTATTGTAGTTTTATCGACAGGTTTCAAGTGTCCCAGCCAGCTTCACTATTTATAGCAGGCTGTTGTGGCTTTTCCTCTGAAATGCTTAACGGAAAAAGCCATTTTGGGTTGGGCTCAGCCTCAGCTCAGAATCACTTTGACAGTCTGAACTTTATTATACTGCAGTTATGAAGTAAGTCACCACCTATATCTGGGATTCCACGCATCAAAGATTACTGTTAGCAAATAAAGCAGGTGTTTCTTTCAGTTGTCTAAAATCTTCATGCATCTCACAGAAATCACATCAACATTTGTCTCCGTTTCCAGGTTTAAAGCAAATGTTCAGCCTGGGTTTTCACTGGGTTTGCAGTGAAGTGATGGTGCCCTACAGTAGCTAATATGCAGCTGAGAATATTAAGTTAAATCATAAACAGTAATTATTTCAAAATAAAAAAGCAATTCTTTTAATATCTGGCAAAAGTGCATAACTACTGTACCAAAGCTGCTGCACAAAAAAGCTACATGCTGAACAAATCAAATGATTATGAATCAATAATTCATAACATTTGAATAATGTTCAATCAACAATCTGTTTTGAATTCTGTTTTATCCCAGGCATAAATGTCCTTAATGTCTCATACAGCTGTTACAGTTTATATGTGGTCTTAGTGCCTTGTTGTTGTCACAATGACCCCCCCCCCCATCCAGACGTCCCCGGCAGGGACAGTAACAGCTGGTTTGGTCACATCGCAACTCATATGCTGTTTACATATGAAATGCTATCACAACCTCTTGTTATTTTATCTAGTAGGCAGAGGAGGGTAATTCAGGTCCAGAAAATTAAAATCCCAACCAAGATTTTGTTTCAATCAACCAGTTGAGTATAAAGAGTCCCAGTCACAGAGTACTCAGCTGGTTGGACTTTTACTCTAATCACACGTGAGCAGGGCTGCCGGTACCGAGCGAGCGTGCACGTGTTCACCATTACGTACCACGCTTCTTTGCTGTCCACTGCAGCTCCTCGCTCTGGAACTCCAGAATTTTGTTGAGCTCATCTGGGTCGCAAAAGCCATCCTGCAGGTCCTTCCAGTGCCGGGACAGCAACGTATCCAGCGACGGAGGGCACGGGAAGGCCATGCCGGGCTGTCGGAGCGAGCCTCTGCGTTGGATGCCCCGTGAGCCCTCGACCGTCCCGCTCACAGCTGCCTGGGGGCAGGAGAGGATCGCACTGCCCCGGCGAGAAAACATCACTGGAATGGGGGCCGTATGCAAGGGAAACAATGCCTAGCTGCCGCTCCAGGTGCCGAGAGATCCTTACCTGCCTGGGTGCTTAGCAGTGCCAGTATTTATACCCAATTTGAATCCCGTTTCATTTATAAATAGCTCGGGATCGAGGCTTGCGATCACAAGACCGAAGACTGACTGCAGCTGGGCAGAATTTAAAGCCCACTTTCGGAGCCGCGATGTATGTTTGTGAGGACAGGCAAAGGGCAGACAGGTCAACGATAGCAAACATGACAGTGTGGAATGGCGCCAGACTGATGTCATCGTGGTGGGTCGGGTAAAGTGTGGCAGTGGCTAAACGGACGTGAACACAGGCGATTTGCCGCCCCCCGGCTGGGCTCCTGTCATGTGTGGCTGTGCAGCTGCTCTCCAATCTCTGGTGGTGCCCCAGAAGATAACAAGCATTCCCACATCTCCACTTGCACTGCTTAGAATATCTGCTGCCTGACAGCAGGTCAGCAGATAAGGAAAACCTTCTGATGTCTGTCAAAAAATGGCCAGGAGAGCTTTTCATAAAGTGTGATTGTTAGACGTGCAAATCCTTAGACACTTGACCTCCTTAGATGCCTCTTGTTACAGCGTGGTGATCGACATGGTTAGTTAGTGACACAGGTCAGAAACAGCAGCAAAGTTACCATCGCAGTATGGGAGAAGCTGTCAACGTGATGATGTCATGACGCACTGACCATGTGATCGCAACAGCATCCCAGACACCAGCACAAGAATAATGGCCATCATGTACTCAGTACCATCACACAGTTAAACTTGACTGTGTGAATAAAGCCTGAGTAAAGAGTGAACAGTCAGAAAGTCAAAGTCTGATCAAAAGATTAAATTAGAGTAAATAAAAATTCTAGGCAGGTCAAGCTGCCCATTTTTTCAGTGACCCCTGATTTACCAGCACTTATTCAGACTCTTGTGAATGTATGGTAAAGAACATATGCAGACACAAGGGTATAGGTTCGGTTTCATCATCGGTAAGGACTAAGTCAGCCCCAAACCATGCCCCCAGACACATAGTACTCCCACAGTATTGACGGGGACATGTCCCTACTGTCTGCACCCTACACCATTGTGCAAACATAATTTTGAGTATTCTGTCAGGTTAACGTAACTCAGTGGTTCATAGTCCTGTTCCTTGTGCCCCCCCCCCCTGCCCGAATGTTTTCATTCCAACCCTACCTTAATCAGGCTTATATGGTCCTTAATAGGTTAATAATGAATGCAGCAGGTTGAAAGCAGTGTGGATTGGAATGAAAACATTTTGGCGGGGGGTGGAGGCAGGAACAGGATTGAGAACTATGGTTATGACCTGACTAATGGGTCTTTCTGGAAACCCTTGTTTTCATTGCTTCTCAACACCTCTACTCCTTCCGATCTCATATTTGCATCACACAGTGACACAAACAGATTTTTCCCCCACTGGCAACCAGTACATGCAACATGCCCCAATTAACAGATTAAGCAAATTAATGAATAAGAGTAAACAAAACTCATTAAACACTTAACTCACATGCTCAAATGAGGACCATATGCTCACCATTCCTTTAATTTCAATACCCACCTAAAAAATCTAGTTCAAATTTTCTTGTCCTGCATCAGGGTCAGCACCTGTCAGTCCCAGCCTTTTGTCTCCTACCTGTTTGGCCAGCAGGTGTCGCTGGCCGTCGTGTTCTCTCTGTGCCCAAGTCCTTCGTGTGTTTCCCCAGCTCCCTGGATTGCTGCATGGTGCTATGGGCAGAGTGTATAGCGACTGATCCTCTAGTCGTGTGTTCAAGCCCAGTCACCTCTGTTTTGCATTTGTTAGATTTTTTGTCCTAGGTTTTTCCCTGCTTGTGTTACGTTTTGTTCCTTTCTGGTTTGGTTAAATTATCCTTGTGTTTTGCTCCTGGTGTTTTATTCCCAGTTAATTTTTTTCTAGTTTTTGGTATTTGTAAAGCTCCCCAGTTTCTATTATCAGTTTCACCTGTTGCCCATTTTCTTGTGCCAGTCCTTGTCGATTGTTCTCACCCGTCCTGTGTTATCTTGTTAGTCCTCTGTATTTAAGTACCTGATCCTGCTCTCTTCCTGGTGGAGTCATTAACTATGATGTATGTTTTAGGTTTCTGTGCTAATGGTGCTTTGCTTGGGTTCCCCTGTTCTGCTCCCTAGTTGTGTTTAGTTATGGTTCCTATAGATAGTTGATGTGTGTTTTCCCCCAGTTTTTGTTTGGACCCCTCGTGGTCCTGTTATTTTGAGTTTTTCCCCAGTGTTCAATAAACCCTTGTTTGTCTCTGACCCACAAGTGGATCGCCCCCTTTTTCCCGCCCGCACCATGCCCTGCGACTGTAATAGAAACCTCTCCTACTGTAACACCCACTCATGGTAATATGTGTTCTGGAATTTTATTGAACATACTTCAGGTTTGATTTAAACACAATTGTTAATCTGCATGATGTCCATCTTTTGACAAATATTATTTAGAACAATTTCCCATTATGATTTCTATTTCTACTATTTTATAATTTCTGTCAAAATCTGACATACATCAATATATTGTGTCCCTAAACTTCTCCTAAAACACTTTCAAATCCATCAGTTTTCTGTAACCGTTTGTCCTGTTCAGGGTCACTGGAGCCTACAAGTGCAGGGCAAGGAACAACCCAGGATGGGGCACCAACACTTCACAGGCTATAACTATACACATCAGTGGGCAATTTAGTAAATCCAGTTCATCTTAACATGTTTTTGATCTGTAGGGGGGAAGCCGGAGTACCCAGAGCAAACGTCACTATGACATGGGAAGAACATGCAAACTCCACACACATGGTAGAGACTCAAACACTGCTCCCAGAGTGGGTGAGTAACAGTGCTAACTACTGCACCATCCACTGCACCATCCACTGCACCATCCAGCGTTTTCCAACTGGGAATGGAAAATAAGCTAAAACTGTACTTACAGATATTTATAACACATGTTATATTTATCTATTTCTCACATTCATATTCATCTTTTGTGACTGAAATTTTGATATATAAAATATATGAATGGAAATCATACCAATGTCTTTAATTCCCAGACATTATTTGTTCTTACATCTCTTTCACAACGCATTTCTTTTTTGCAGCCTAGCAGTAAAATGTAATCATCTGGAATAAAATGTCCGTTTAATACCTTTGATTAAATTCATTTTTTTTACCCTAAAGTGACGAAAAACAGACAAAAATGAAATCCTACACTAAACATTGTGTCAATAATAAATCAGCCAATTTAACAAAATAAATTAATATTTACACTTGTGGTTTGATTTTCGCAGCTCCCAAAGTGTCTGCGTAATGAGACATATATCATGGTTAATTCCATTGGGGGTTAGGGGTATTCTGAGCTTTTAAATTACATTTTTGGAAAGAATTAATCCATTTAAAACACAGTTAAATTTGTATTACACCCTCTTGAACTGAATGGTGTCTCATGACAGATTAAAATGTTCACTGCTGATTTAAATGAATACAAATGTAAATGTACTAGAGAAGTACACCAGAATCCCCATGCAATCTTGACAAAACTGAACAAAGATTGGATGAAAACCTGACCAAACGAATGCCAAGTTTTCAGAATTACTGAAAATGACCTGCGACTGTAAATCCCATGCTGAGGTGTTGGATGGTTTTCTATCAGTGCTAAACCGATTATTACTTTAATTACTAACGTTGGCACCTTGGTTTCTCTTCACAGTCTCAAAAACCTCCAGCTTTGGATGCCGTTAGCGAGCAATAAAACCACAGAAAAGGACCAGGAGAGAATGTAATTCATCTGGGAGGCCGTCGGTTCTGAAGCCAAGGCCTGGAGTGACAGTCACTTCCCTGCATTACATACCCCACACCCTCCAAAATTCTTCCAGGTTGCATCAGCCCCCACCTGCTCTGACCCGTCCCTCCTGTCATGGCCATCTGTGTTACGATCCCATTGCTGAAACATCTCTCAATACAATGGAAGTCAACTTAACATTTAACTAGCACCGTTCATCCTTTACCCGAGTAGCAGGAAGACAATAAATTCATTATATTCTAGCCTTAGGAAGTTATTTGTTAATATTGCCTTTGAATACCTCCCACCCCCTTGCAAAATGCACAAATTGTGTCGTATAATGCATAATAGGACATACTTAATAGAGTAGATTAGCTAATTTTATGCTAATCGCTTATAGTCTAGACTCTAGACATCTGTGTTTAACATCCCCATCCTCCAATCGACCCTTTAATCTCTGTCTCTGTCCTGTGTGTCCTGTACATGCAGTAATCCGATGTACTGCAGGCTTCTTATATACATTATATGCATATTTATTGAATATAGAACAGCCATTAACACAACCCTTGAGTTTTTGCACAAGAACATACATTAAGCACCTTTGCAAAATCGATGAAAAGTTTCTAAATGCATAATGTGCAGATGTTATCCAGGTGCTTCTGCGGAGTGTCTGGTATTATGCATAGAACTGGTGTCCTTTACAATGGTTTTCCATTCGCCAGCTAATGTCAGTGGCCTAGGCTACTTGGCATTTCAGCTGAAGGGCAGGTGCTGCTGTGTGGAGCTCTGGGATCTATCCAGGGTGAGACGGTTTTAGAGAGAGTAGAGTTGGGGTACAGATCTGACTGCAGAACCTGCTGTGGAAATGGAGACAGGTCAATAACTTTATGGCAATGAGGATCATTAAAACGACTTCCAGGGACCTATTTAAAATCCCCGCCTCTTGATTGCCTTTTAAGTTTATAAATAAACCCATATTTATACAAACAGTCAATGCAGAAATAGCTAGCAATCAGAAACAGGTGCTCGACAGAGTGATCTATAGATGACTGATACTTCACATAAATGAAATAAGATGAATTTCATTAATATATTGTACGAAGCTCAGGTCATTGTGAGTAAAAAACACGAATAAGATTAGATGATAGCATGAAATAGGATATTAGGTGCTAATTAACATAGGGGTACCTCTTACATTCCAAAAGTTAAAAAGCTGAAAATACATGCTGAAATAAATCTAAAGTGTGGTTCGTAAGGATGCTTTATGTTAGCAAGCGCTGATGATCTGGTGACTGAAGCACAGACCATAATAGCTGAAGCTCAGGAGGTAGAGATGCCTTTTTACATGCAACAGCATCAGGCTGTCTGATGTGAACATCCCAAACAAAACTTCCAGCTGTACACGTGTGTANGCGTACCTAACGTTAGTTAACTTATCTAGCGCTTAGGAATTTCTGGGTTTTCCATGTCAAAAACAAACTAAAGTGCTCTCAA